TGGGCTTCTTCAGCATCCTCTGTAAGGTACCAAAACCAAAACCAAAAAAAAAAAAAAAAACGAATCCTATTGCTGTCGAGTCAATTCCAACTCATGGCGACCCTATAGGACAGAGTAGAACTGCCCCATAGGGTTTCCAAGGAGCGGCTGGTGGATTCGAACTGCCGACCTTTTGGTCTGCAACCACAGAGGTGTGTAAATTTTGTAATTTTTGCTGTTAAAGCATTTGAATTTCCAGGATTAATTTCTCCCTTTTCTTCAAATGATTAAATCACAGGTACAACTGCCAAAAGAACTGGAGTAAGGGACAACAGAATCATCTAGAAGAACAAGGAATTGAAATAATGACTCTTGGATTAGAGCTTGGAGACTATTTCAACAGCAGCTCTTCAGGATCCAGGTGGCAGAACTGGGAACAGTGTTAACATCTCATTGGGGTATTTATGAAAGAGGAGAATGCTTGGGTCATGACAAAATAGGGGCTGAAGGGGAAGGAGGAAGGAGGTAAACTATTAATATTCAGGGGCAATATTTTCTTTTTTTTTTATTGTTGTAGTTTAAATGAAGTTTACATTTCAAGTTAGTCTCCCATAAAAAAATTTATACATACATTGTTCTGTGACCCTAATTGCTCTTCCCATACTGTGACAGCACACTCCTCATTTCCACTCCTGATTCCACATGTCCATTCAACCAGCTCCTAACCCCCTCTGCCTTCCCATCTCACCTCCAGACAGAAGCTGCCTATTCAGTCTCTCGTATCTGCTTGAGCTAAGAGGCACACTCCTCATGAGTATCACTTTACGTCCCATAGTCTAGTCCAATCTCAGGGGCAATATTTTCTACTTTCAGTTGATTTGAGTGACTTAGGTAATATAGAGAATCATGCTTCCAGAAGCAGAAACACAGACAAGTTAAAAAAAAAAATTTTTTTTTTTTTTTTTTTTAAATAAACATTTGCCTTACTATTGCTCTCTACTGGTAAATAACAGTGCATACTACAGAAGTGTTAGTTACTATATTCTCACGTTTTCTCCTTCCATTTCCTCCGCTGTAATTCATCAACTATAGTTAACATATCGTAAAAGGGAACAAATCCTGTTTTACCCTATGGAAATGTGACAGGTGAACTGAGCTCCAGGCCCTTCTGATGCTTTAAAATGGAAGAATTGATTATTAGCTCTTCTCTGGAGAATCTGTTGAGATTTCTAGTTTCCAAGCTCGTGTGGCTTTCTCTCTCGGCCACTTCCCTGATGTTTCAAAACATACTTCGGATAAGGTTATCTGTGAGGGGCAGAATGTCACCAGCAAAAGAGTGACAGAAAAAATAAGCCTTGCATAGACATAAAAATTTCCCCCAGTGAGTTTCCATAAATATCGGGACGATGGGAGATAATATGCTGTTTTTGCAGGAATTTTTTAAAAAATAAATCATATTGTTATTAATAAGCTTTAGGTTTTAGCTAACTACATTTTCTGGTTTGTTTGTTGTTGTTGTTGTTTTAAAGTTTAATCTATGAGTCTAATTGGATCTTCTTGTTGCTCCTCTGAAAAATTTTCTAAAGGAACTAGCTTGCAGGATTAAACTTAAACTCCTTTACCTGTTGTTCAAGAACCTCCATCATCTGGGCCCCAGTTCACCAATCCAGGCTTATCTCCCACAAATCCTTACCTTCCTCTTGATAAAACATCCTTGTGCACACCCTTGTGCCTTTGCTTTTCTTGACCCTTGTACAGAACACCCCTCCCCAAGAAACTTCCCTTCTGCTCTCAGTTTACCCAAATCCCACCCAATCTTCAAAGCCCAGGTCAGGTCCCATTTCCTCCACAAAAAGCTTCCCCGAGAACTTCAACCTGTGTTCTTGCCTCCTTCCAAGTTCTAGAGCCCTTAGTTGTGCACCCCAGCCAATAGGTACATAGAATTTGAGATTTTGTAATTACAGAGGTGGTGCAAATCAGGGCTTTGAATCCATTCTAAATGGTTCAGTCATGGCCCATGGAAACAAGGGCAGTGTAAGGGCTGCATAGCAACCAAATCTCTTGCACATGGGCTTTTGACCCTAGTAGGAAACAGGCAGCAGTGCCGCGCTCAAAGATGGCGGCAGACCTTGCCGTTTTGAAAGTTTCCTGATGCGGGAGATTGAAGGGACTGTGGAGAGCGACACACAAAGTGGCACGGTTGGCCGCCATCTTTGAGCAGAGCACTACTGCTTGTTTCCTGCTCAGGTCAAAAGCCCGCCTGCAACAGATCCGGTTACTACGCAATGTGTACGGTGCCTTTGTTTCCTTTGGTCATGACTGAACCACTTTGAACTGGTTGGAAGCCCTGCCTTGTTTCCATGAGCCATGACTGAACCATTTAGAACTAGTTCGAAGCCCCGGCGCAAACCCAGGCATCAAGCTTTGGTGCCTTTTCTCTCTTCTTTACCCGAGTGAATAATTGGCACCTGCTTTCTGTCTCCTACAGTATAATCATAACACACCCATTGTCGATTCCAACTCATAGCAACCCTATCTATAGGACAGAGTCGAACTGCCCCATAGGGTTTCCAAGGCTGTACTCTTTATGGAAGCAGACTGCCACATCTTTCTCCCTCAAAGAGGCTGGGGGGTTCAAACTGCCGACCTTTCAGTTAGCAGCTGAGCACTTACATAACAAGCAAGATGGGCTAGAAGAAAATGAATCTAGTAGGGACCGACTTAAAAGCAGTATGTTATTTGAAAGGACAAGGCATGGGAAAGAAATATGGTGTTTCTATTTTTAAAGATAAGTTACTGTGTACAAAACTATCCAAATTTAAACAGTGTTACCAAAAACCAAACCATTCCAGTTGCCGTAGAGTCGATTATGACTTATAGTGACCCTACAGGAAAGAGTACAAATGCCCTATAGGGTTTCCAGGGAGTGGCTGATGGATTCGAACTGTTGACCTTTTGGTTAGCAGCTGAGCTCTTAACCACTGCACCACCAGGTCTCCAAACAGTGTTAAATAATTTTAAATCAAGTGGTTAACTTAAGGAGATCAAACAGTTAATAGCTTTGTTTTCTCCCCTAATATTTCTACAGAACATCTTTGCATATAAAGCAGGATAGTTAAGACTGCAATAAATAAAACTTCTTAAGAATCTAGAACATTCTGCATCTAAGAGGCTAATCTTTGACAGAAAAAAGTGCCGTAAATATTTTTGAAAGCTTAATGTCTGTTAGTAGTAGAAATTCTGGAAAGCCCTATGCATTTGCTTCCACAGCCACAATAAGGAATTTCAAAAAGTGCTAATAGCCTTGAAACAGAGCTTCAACCCGAGATGTGCACAAAGAAAATACGATCCAATTTCATAGGTTACTGCCTCAATATATAAGTTTTGTCAAGAAACAGATGTAGTTCACATGATGCTTTTTTTCAAAATATCCATCACCCCGTCCTAAAAATCCTAGTTGATGAAGATTTTAACTTGTTTTTAAAATGTTTTGATTTATGACTTTTACATGTTGTATTTTTCCATTATTATTCTCCCAGAATTGACCACTAACAATTAGTAATTATAACGAGTATTTTTTGAAATTCAAGTTGTCACTTTCTCTCTCCAAATGTACTGCATTTAATTAGCAGAGTTCACCATGTAGAAATGTTGAGAGGTTAAAATGTGCATAAACCAATGCCAGGTTGCAAAAAACATCCCACTGAGAATTCAACCTTTATTCTGGCTGGAAGTATATAAAGTATTAATGTTTTATGGAACAATATTGGAAACAAGCTAAGAGTATTTGCTGTATGGTATATCCTCATGGCTTGTAAGCTTGTCACTGAGTCTCTCAAATACTTAACACGGATGTTCATTAAATAAAGTCTCACCGAAAAAAAAAACCTTTGATAAATTTTATTCTTCGTATTTGGGTAAGCGTACAGATTCTAGACCATGTCAGGGAAGTTGTGGTGATATCAATGGGTAGAGATGAAGGTTGCAGGTTGGCTGAGAAATTAAAATGCAAGAAAAATTAGGAGCAGCATATGCTGTTGCTTCTTATTCTAAGAACATACAGAGAGTTTTTTAAGTAAATACAGCTCCAGTTATCTGCACAATTCAATGTTAGGGAAACCTGAATGTTTTCTACTTTTTCTATGAAGTCACTAAATTGGCAAGCAAAACATTTCCTATGATCTATTTCTAATACATGGGAAGTAAAGAGAAGAAAGTAATGGAACGTGTAAATCCACGCTATCTTGACTCTAATGTCTATCTATAAAAGCATACGCTTATAACAATCATACCTAAAGTTTTTATGAACTGCACAAGCTGGTCATCATTCCCATTTTAATTCTTTAAAGTCTTTTTGCTCAGTCATCTAAACATGCTTTTCAGATTTCAAAAGATCAGCTATTATTGTCCTCTTTGTGCCCCAAGGAATTAATCAAACACACATTTATTTCCTTTTTTCTAAATGTTCCAGTTAAAATCTAAACAATGAAAACAAATAAGTGAAACATTATCTAAGACACCTTTTTTTTCCATTATAACAACAAAAATGTCTAATATCAACAGAACTCAAGCTTTTATTTTATTGGTTTTTTTTTTAATAATATAGGTTACATAGCGTAACCTCCTTAAAGAAGGTGACATTAAGTCTGCAACAGATATACCCGCTGGTGAAAACATATTACTAGTATTTCAAAAATTTACAAAAAATTTGACAAAATATTCTACTAAACAGCAATCTTTATATTTGTAAACAAAGTGTAAATTGGTTTATCCAGTTTCCACTGCACGTCAAACAGATGGCAAAGTGACAGAGATCACCTTTGATTTTCAAAGAATACCAATAAAAACTAATTTAGACCCCACACATTACAAGCCTAGGAAATCCTTATGGGAGAGGGATGCTGGAGGGGATTAGAAACAGGCTAATGCATAACATCATCTACTTTATCAGCCTTTCGTTTACTCACATTGCTGGCACTTGACAAATACTTTTTTCCTATAACAGCATTGTTGCTATACTAGTCACAATTCTTTCCTTTTCTCTTATTTCCTTAAAGAAATAAGGGTGATCCATTTCCTGTCAGTTTTCATAAACACACCTGAAACTTCAGACAAAATTGCGGGGTGGTTTTCTTTCTGTTTCTGCGTCCTTGTCTCTGTAACATCAGAGAGATCGATAGCTTGGCCTATACATGCATGCTGCCATAGATAGTCGGATGGTACGTGCACCTCCCGTTTCAAATACACAAACAGAAAGTAGATCTGGACAAGAGCAAACTGCAACTGAATTTCTGCTGTGACCCTATCACCAGGCCAGCAACTTACTCCTTCACTTTACTGATATAGTCAGTGAATTTGCTCAAGCTTTCTTCCTGCTGCTCCAGGGCATCCAGGACAATGCCCATTGGTGTCTTCTTCAACCCTATTTCCTCCATTTTATTCTCCAGCTTGTTCTTGAAGTTCCGAAGTCTCAAAGACGCATGGATAAACATCACTGTGGGGAAATGGGACATGGTTAGCACCAAAGAAACAGCTGTTTTTTTCCATATCAACATTACACATCCTCTTTCCACTTTTGGTAAAGTGCCTCAGTTAACTGTAGCTCCATCTGGTTCTGTAATTGATCCAGGCCTTCAACTAGATCCTTGGCTTATGCAAACTGGACTTTATATAAAGCTTTTCATCAAAGTCATAAAGTGTTCTTGGTATGGGAAGGAAAAGGTGTGTCCAGCAGGAAGGACCATAATCTGGCAGCCATGGCTCTCTCCTTCACGCACTGGCATGATTACCCTACAGATGCTACTTAAATGCCCTGAAATTGAAAAGGAATCAGTGTGTATCCAATCTACATAAAAATGGACTTACACAAGGTTTTCCAGAAAAGGACTTTTGCTCAATTCAGGGGTTACCTGGATTTTGTTCCCTTCAGGAGGCCTGAGGAGTCCTTTGGTGGTACAAATGGTTAATGCGCTCGGCTGCTAACTGAAAGGTTGGAGGTTCGAGTCCACTCAGAGCTGCCTTGGAAGAAAGGCCTGGCAATCTATTTCTGAAAGCTGATAGCCATTGAAAACCCTATGGAGCATAGTTCTACTTTGAAACACATGGGTCATCATGAGTCAGGGAATCAACCTGATGGCAACTGGCTTCAGGAGGCATGCAGGCAAAGACCACTTATAAGGTTCTTCCTAACTGGCAGTTTTCTAAAGTGTTGGGTATAGATCTATAGATAAAAATGTAAGAGTTTTATGGAACTTATCTAGTCCAGTGTTTCCCACATTTGCTTGATCATTAAGAATTACCAGAGTTTCTCATGAAAAAACAAATTCCCAGGCTCCTCTCCTGGGCCTCCTGAACCAGAACCTTAAAGGGATGGGCCTGGGAATCTGTATTTTAAACAGACCACCCAGGTGATCAACACTAGTGGTTTTCAAACTAGATATACGTACAAATCACCTGGAGAGCCTGTTACACCGGCAAATTCCTGGGCTTCAACACCTCACATTCAGACTTTGAAGATTGAGGTAGGGCTCAAGAATGTCTAATTTTAATAATCACTCTGGATGATTCTGATTGTATGTGATTTTGGACCCTAAATTTGAGAAACACTCATCTGCTTTCTATCTGGTGGTTTCCAAACTGCCCGTCCATCCGGAACATTTGAGGAGCTTTCCAAAAGACAGGTGCTTTGGGCAGTACTGTCGACCCACAGCATCACCATCTCCAGAGCACGTGGCTGGGAAATTTATATTTTTAAGAAGTGTCTTGCCTTGTAAACATTGTGCTGAGTGAAATAAGTCAGTCACAAATGGACAAATATTGTGTGATCCCACCTATATGAAATATCTAGAATAGGCAAATGCACAAAGTCTATTAGTGACTACCAGGGGTAGGAGGAAGGGGAAAAGGGGAGTAACTGCTTAAGGAGTACTGAGCTTCTGTTAAGGGTGATGGAAAAATTTGGAAACAGATAATGGTGATGGCTGTACAACATGATGAACGTAACTAATGTCACTGAATTGGACATGTAAAAAGTTGAAAAAAAGTCCTGGATAATTCACATAATCATTAAGGTTTGTAAATCACTGATGTCTAATTTCTTTATTTTACGGATGAGTAAACTACAGCCTATAGTGGATGGCTGGTCCAAATCACATGGCTGGTTCCCAGCAAATTTAAGAATAGAAATCAGGACCCCTGACTCTCTACCTATGACACATGTCATTACACTGCCCTGGCTCAGGCGCCAATGTAGAAGGGAACTAAAGTAAACAAGCTGTGTATTTAAACACGAAAGAATCATCGAAATACCAAACCTCTAGCACATAAGGAAAAACCAAAGAATATTTCCAAAAGGCTAAATTTGCTGATTCAAATCTTTTTACAACAAGATGTGGGAGTCATCCATAAATATTCTGGGCTTAATCTAACAAAACCCCAAAACAAGCTAATAATTTCATTTAAGGGAATAAATGCACAAGTCAAACACACTGAAAAGTTAAAGGGATGTTTCTGTCACTTAGTATAGCAGAATCTTAGACAGTTATCTGCTGATGAGGCTGGAATTTTATCTGATCTCTATTTCAGGCTTCAAGTGTTTGGGGCCTCAGTAAACACTGCATGTAAAATTTAGAAAATATCTAGTTTTCATCACCAAAATCAGAGTACTTGGTATCTATATTCTGGGTTAATTACTCCTAAAGACTTACTTGACACTAATTATGAGCTTCAGAGCAAATAGAAAGCAAATAGTTTACTTCCAAATGACAGATAAATTCATTTCTGTGTCAGAAAAATAAGAATGGCACTTAAAAGTATGAGAACAGAAAATCTGCTATCAGACAAATCTGGGGTCCAATCCAGACTATGCCACTTTCCTGCTGTGGGATCTTGGCATTTTTAATGTGTTAAATATACTGCTGTGTCCCCATAAGAGTGTCTGGCCCACAGCAGGTTCCCAACAAGTATTTCTGGAATTAATGAACTATTAGATCTTGAGCTGTTGTTTTAGAAAATTCTGTTAATTTTGCAGAGATGTCCACACACATGCGAAACAGGTGATGTAATTCCCATCGAACAACTGCTCCCACATTTGCTCTGACAGAAGAAGAAGGAAAACTAGGGTCACTCACACAGCAAAGGAAAGGTGATGCCAAACACAAAGACCATGACTCCCCCAAACATGGATATGAGGAAATAGCTGGCCAGCAGGACCGCCATAACAAACGCTGTGGGGTACTGCTTCTTCATCCGGCGAAGGATGTCCTTATTGTGGGCTGCCCACACAAACCCCGTGAACACCAACACCACCACAACTCCTCCAAGCATCATGTTGAAGGGACTCAAGAACCTGGAATGTGGGAAAAAAGAGAAACTAGATCAGCAGCAGTCAGTGGCATCAGTAGGAGGAGGAAGAGGAGGAGGAAGAGGAATAAAAACAATTATTGGGTACTTACCAAGCACTTTATCTAAATTATCTCATTTAATCCTCATAGCCTTATTAGGCAGATACTATTAATTTATTTCTCAAATGAAGAAACGGAGGCATAGAGAGGTTAGAAAATGGTGGAGCTAAGTAAGATTCATACTCAGGCAGTTTGACTCACAGCAAATTATTCAGTTCATCTCACTAGAGGTCCACAGTTTTAAAACGCTCGGGATTCTTTGGAGGGGTTATGTTTAGCTTTCATATATTTTGGGCTCTAGTACACATTAGGTTGGATTATCTTAGCTCTGAGGGCTTATTTAAATCCTCATAGAAGGCACCATCATAGATGAATATAGAATACAGGTTACACAGTAGCCTCCCTGGGCCAGATTCAGGTTACAGTCATATTTTTGTTTGGTCTTTACAGTGTTTTAAAAAACTTTTACTCAAATCCCAATGTGTACCAAAAAAAAAATCTTAAACTTGGTATTTTTGTTTTAATTTGACATTATCTTTTTTTTTTTTAATTGTGCTTTAGACAAAGATTTACAGAGCAAGTTAGTTTCTCATTAAATAATTAATACACATTTTGTTTCATGACATTGGTTGCCAACCCCACAACATGTCAACATTCTCCCCTTCTCGACCTTTGGTTCCCTGTTACCAGCTTTCCTGTCCCCAGCTGCCTTCTTGTCCTTGTCCCTGGGCTGGTATGCCCATTTAATCTTGTTTTGTTTTATGGGCCTGTCTAATCTTTGGCTGAAGGGTGAACCTCAGGAGTGACTTCAGTATTGAGTTAAAAGGGTATCCAGCACCATACTCTCAGGGTTTCTCGGGTCTCTGTCAGGCCAGTAAGTCTTGTCTTTTTTTGTGAGTTAGAATTTTGTTCTACGTTTTTCTCCAGCTCTGTCCGGGACCCTCTATTGTGATCCCATCAGAGCAGTGGGTGGTGGTAGCCGAGCACCATCTAGTTGTGCTGGACTCAGTCTGGTGGAGGCTGTGGTAGTTCTGGTCTATTAGTCCTTTGGACTAATCTTTCCCTTGTGTCTTTGGTTTTCTTCATTCTTCCTTGCTCCAGACGGGGTGGGACCAGTGGAGTGTCTTAGATGGCAGCTCACAAGCTTTTAAGACCCCAGATGCTACTCACCAAAGTAGGATGTAGAACATTTTCTTTATAAACTATTTTATGCCAGTTGAGCTAGATGTCCCCTGAAACATGCTCCCCACCCCTCGGCCTGGTAATTCGGTCCCTCAGGGAGTTTGGATGTATCTATGAAGCTTCCATGACCTTGCCTTGGTCAAGTTGTGCTGACTCCCTCAGCATTGTGTACTGTCTTACCCTTCACCAAAGTTACCACTCATCTATCGTCTATTTAGTGAAAACCTGCTATTTCCTAATTGTCTTGGCAACAAGAAAATTTAGCAACATTGGGCCCACTTTCTCACCTGTCAACAACTGGCTGAAGCCCCTGCCTCATTCACATAGAACTAACGCTCTCCATTTAGCCCCAGTCCCCACTACTCTCTACTGCCTCCCTCACAGAGGCCCAGAGGGAGCTGCCATTCATCATTTTTTCTAATAGCTGTCCTGCATTACTCTCTTTCACAACCTGCCTGGTCCACAGAGGCATTTAAGTTTATCATTCCTGGCACAGAGTCCATTGCACTTCTTTAAAAAGCCTAAAGTATCATTAGAAAATGGGTTATTAATTGAGATTTCCAAGCACAGAGCCTCCAGGTTATTCTTACGTGAGCCGAAGACGTTTATTATTTTAATAGCAATTGCACTGTGGTTGAAAATGGAGGAAATGCATTATGAAACAGAAATCTTTACTAAATATTTCACAAGTAAGAATAATAGGCATTGCAGACCCCACCCCAACTCCACCACATGCATCATAAAACCCTTAACAAAGTGTCTGGGGTCAGTCCTCAGATATCATGAGTTACTGACTTTTTACTCTCATGGAAGACTAAAGAGCAATTTACTTGAGAAGGATACAGAGGGTCAGTGGGTTTCATCATGCTTTGAATATCACTATACCTGATTTGGAAATGAGGGGTGGGGGGAAATGGGGTAAGAGAAAGTGACACTAAAAGCTCACTTTCTCTGATTAAACAGGAGATGCATTTATACTTCTATTTAGATTCATATTTAGGGTAACTAAGATTCTTTTAAAAAAAAAAATCCCTCTGTATTTTAGCTTTCATTCTGCTCACTGAAAAACAAAAGCTATTTTAAACAATTTTAAATTAGGAGATAAAATTTTTTCACCCCTTAGTGGGTAAAAGCAAGGATTATAATCAATGCTAAAATACTTTGAAAAAATTTTTAAAGTTTCTATTAAAAACGCATAGAATTAAATAGAGATAAGAGTAGCAGTACGTAATTTGAAATTAAATCCTACAATAATAAATTGTTTATTTCACTGGTAAAAGGTATCAAAACTCTGCAAATGACTATAATCTTCAAGCCAATAAATTTCCTCCATAGAATATAGTCTATGGAAATAAGTAAAAATGCAAAGACTGAGTTATAACACTATTCACATCAGCGGTATTTATGATTAAAAACTTTTACAAACAATGTAAATGGCCAACAACTTACCAGACTATGGTATATACAGCCATTTAAAAAAAAAAAAAAAGTTGAAGTATTAATATACTGTTGTTGTTGTTAGGTACACTGAGTCGATTTTGACTCATAGTGACCCCATGTGATAGAGTAGAACTGCCTTATAGGGCTTTGTAGGCTGTAATCTTTATGGAAGCAGATTGCCAGGTCTTTCTCCTGTGGAACTGCTGAGTGGGTTCGAACTGCCAACCTTTCATTTAGCAGACAAGCGCTTAACCAGTGCACCACCAGGGCTCCTTACTTAATAATAAGGTAAGATGTTACCACTGTAATATATGAAGTGGACAAAAGCAGCTATAACAATAGGTTCTGTTAGGTGGACTTATATATGTTATACAGCTTGGAAGCAGAAATTTTTATAATTAGTATACTATTTTGTAGTCAAATAAAATGAACACATATTAAAAAAGAAAATATAAAAGCAACTGCTCCCTAACCCAATGCCCAGGCTTGGCCCAGGCCAATTATATAACAGTCCATCTTTACTTGTATCATCTCCCCAAGAACGCTAGTGGCAAATCAATTCAAACACCACAGCAAAAGTTCCTCGCTTCTCCAAACCAAACCTTGGTGGTCTGCTCATTCTCCAGATCCTCTTATAGTCAACCTACCCAAACCAGAAAACCAAACCAATTGCTGTCCAGTCGATTCTGACTCAGAGCGACTCTACAGGACAGAGTAGAACTGCCCCATAGGGTTTCCAAGGCCGTAAATCTTTATGGAAGCAGACTGCCACATCTTTCTCCCTCCCAGGGGCTGGTAGGTTCGAACCGCTAACCTTTATGTTAGCAGTCAAGCACTTAACCACTGTTCCACCAGGGCTCCCTAGTCAACCTACAGTACCCTGAGCTTTCCCCAACATCCATCCATCTCTGTCCCTCAGTTCTTTATTACATGGATCCATGCAGCCTCTCTGCACTTTCCTTTTTAAATTTTATCTGGATTATACCCTCCCTCCTGATTTAGGATCATATAATGCCCCAGAATTGGTCTGCGAAAGACAAAAATTTCCTTATGGTTCTGGGGAGGGAGAGAATTGGACAGGGCAAAGGCAAGATTCTCTTTAGCAGGTGGTGGGGAGACTGAGTGGAGAGAACCAGAAACCCTCACAGATTAATAAATGTCATCCCTATCACCAAAAGACTCTGGGAGAAAGTGTACTAAGTGATTGCAGTAGTTATACTGGGTAGTAAGATCACGGGTAGTTTTTCCCCATTTGCTTATTTCTATTTTCATATTCTTTCAATGGCTGTGTATAACTTGAATAATAAAAATAGGTATTTTTAAATGAACAACAAAATGGGGGGAAATACCTGAAAGAAACGGACTCTCTTACGAAGTCTTTGATGGTGACCTATAACCCACCCAAACATTTCTGAGCTGTGATGAAAAGCAAAGATCAAAATTAACTCAAAGAACTAGAATGGGGGCGAGGGTTAAAGTTGAAGAAAACTCCTTTGTGTAAGCTCTGCAAATAGCAAACACCAAAGATTTACTCAGTCCTTTCTAGAATACAATAATAATACATGAAGCATATAATAAATTCACATCAAGCTTTTTTTAAATTTTTCTCTGGGCAAATAAAGTAGACATCTAGGTTGATGTCTAAATAAAGCCCAAAGCAAAGAAGAATGAAAAACCTAGGCCTGCCTCTAGCAATTAAAAATTTGCTTTTCACCTGTTCCTGTTGCTCATGATCCAGGAAAAGGAACAGAGCAAGGAGTCCTATAGAACTCGTTTTAGCTTACAACACTCTCAGCCACAATCTAGAACTAGAAAGTAACCAAATTTCCAAGCTGGAAAAAACAAAGTTACTCAGAGCAGAAATGATTTTCTTCTGTAGAATGCTTAAATACAATTCCATTCTAAGAAATGGTAACATACACACCAGTGATCTGGCACTGGCTTGCCCTTGGAACAAAAATAAAGCACACACCAACTTCCAGAGGCTAATTTTATTTTCCAGTGAGTGAGTGCAGGAATTTTGGAACCAGTTCTTTTCAGAGATGCGTAAAGCTTTTAAACAACAGTTGGACTGTTAGTCACACCAGTCACAGTAAGTGCCAAGAACCTTTAGATGAAACTTTCCATAAATATGTCACCCATCTTGCATGTGGACACTTGTCACTTGACTCTGCTGGGTGGAGTTTCATTTACTGGTAGTCCACAAATGAGAGAGAGAGACAGAGCAAACACACTAGATTTTCTAAACTTGGAGGAAATAGGAACTAGTTTTGAAAACCAAAGAAATTAAATACATTTTTTTAATGTGAAATAAACACACATA